GTTTGTTGGGTGGATTGTTTGGTTGCAAACGGGCGGTGATGAGGCGCGAGGTCCCAGCCCCAGATTGTGATGTCTCAGGGGGGCGGTGGGCCGGGTGACGCAACTGGGGGGTGGGGAGTGAGCCCGCAGGTCCCAGGACCTGATCCAGGGGAGCCCGCCCCCTCCCACCCCTACTCCCAACGCCGTCCGCCACCCCCTGTCCCGCGGACGACCTTCTCCTACACACACACCCTTCGAAGAAGGACCCGTGTCCCCGCGCCATTCGGAGAGGCAGTCCCCTGCGGAGGGGAGGGGCGGAGCCGTGTCCCTGCGACGCTGAGGGCACCTCGGGGAGCAGCGAGGGCCTGGGTAGGGGACGAATGAGTGTGGAAATGGAATTAGGGCAGGCCCTCCCCTGTCTCCGTATTGGGGGCCCGTGGAGAGAAGGACCTCTTTCCTGGGTTTGGATATTGGGAACTTTTCCTCGGGGATCCAGTTGAGACGTGGCTCAGGTTCTGGGGACAGTCGAGGAGCAGCAGCCTCCATGGGAGCTGGGATACCCCATGGAGTCTTGGGCCACGAATCGCCAAGTCACCCTCTGAGGCTTTACTGAAAACGAGTGTGGGTCTTTCCAGTGGGGGGTGTGTGTGTGTGTGTGTGTGTGTGAGTGTGAGTGTGTGTGTGTGAGTGTGTGTGTGTGCGTGTGTGTGTGTGTGCGTGCGTGCGTGTGTTTCTGTACTATTTCTTTGGACTCTTGACAGTTCCAGGATCTTATCTCGTTTGGCGCTCACAGCCTACCTGAGGCAGAGTTCTTTATTGGTTTTATAAACATGGAAAAAGTGAATTTCTGGAATTTGCCCAAGGCTGAGAAATGAGTTGGGAGCATGGGGCCCCAGCCCCCAGCCCAGAACTATGACCCTTTGCGTGTACACGAAGGCTCGTGTACACACACAGACATGCACATGCGTGCACGCACACGCACGCACGCACGCACGCACGGTGGCTTATATATGGGATATTCCAGGAGAAAAATGGCCAGAGTTCACTGAGCATTTAAACATGAGCGGTGATCATCATTGCTGGGTTCGCCTACCGAAATACTACAAGAGGTTGGGTAGGCTCCTCCCTCACAGGTAACCACGGTGCGGCACAAGTGAGTAGCCCCTGTGTCCTCGAGGCAGGACCCTGAGGTGAGTGAGTCTACCTCAGGTACATTCCTGGGGGCAGAGGGGACGGGCATCCAACAAACAAGGAAACAAGATAAATACAGATGCAAGTGAATTCCAGAAAGGAGAGAGTCGACTTGGGATAAGTGGGACCCGGATGGGCTAGGAGAGGTCTCTGAGGACTGGCCTTGGAACTGAGCTGGAATGATAAAGGGAGCCACCACGGGGACAGCCGTGGATCGGTGGAAACAGGTCCTAGATGACTCCAATGTGCTACCCTCTGCTCGGTACCAGGGGCACAGCCAGGGACGAGCTGTCACTGCTCAGAGAGCTGACACGCTGGTGGGACATTTATCCGGAGGCTGAACAGGAGGGTCATGTCCAGGTGCGGAGCTCCAGATCACTTTTTCTTTCCTTTGTTTGTGTTTCCCACCACGAACACATATTTTCACAGTCAGACAGAAAAGCAATATGTTCTTGTTTAATCCCTTGAGGCCCTTTCCAGGAGTCCCCAGCCTGCTTTTGCTGTCCTCACTCGCAGGTCTGGAAGCCTGATGGAGCCGACGGGGGCTCATGGGTGCCTGCGCACAGGCCCCCTACCCCCGGGCTTGAGGCAGGAACTGCCTTCTCCCAGTCTGATCAGAGAGTGTGTGGCCATTTCAGACTCCAGGCAGCAGGGTCTGCTTCTGCGTCCTGAAGAGCAGGGTGCTAGTAGCCAGGCGTCACCTGATTTTTCCCCATCTGTTAGTCATCTCCTGCTTTTACGCTTCCATTTATTTTCCGTAATTGCTACGGGGTGAAGTTGGGCTGAAAATCATTTTCTTTCCAAAGCAAAGAGCCAAGATGACCAGCCTTCCTCTCCATCAGTCGGCGGGGCTTGGGGAACAGAAGGCTCTGGAATAGTGCGGTGCGGGTGTTAGCTGCAGGGATGGGCCATTTTTCACGATGCAGAGGTGACTGCTCCTGTGACGGAGTACTGCATCTTTGGGGAATATTGCATAGGCCGTCACAACTCCCAGGCAGGGAGGGACCGTGATCACCAGTGACTGAGCACCAATTATGTACCAGATGTTGGATTATCAGCCTAAATGACTTCTTTTCATTAAAGTGGAAAGAGAATTTTAGGTGCTTTTTGAAATGGAGTAAGAGCCTGGGCCAGCACTGAGCATGGGGCCGGCCTCTCAAAAGTATTTGAATATTCATTGAGCTATGTGTCAATATTACCTCCTTTTTTCGTTCAATGTCTCTGGGCTCTACCTTCATTGATCCGTCCCTGTGCCACCTCCTTGCCCATTGATCCTGGTTGTATATTTTTCGATTCAGAGATGGAATGCTGCACAGGTCCTGGCCACATTCTGCTCTCTTTGAAACACCCTTCCCCTCCTCTCTCCCTGCACTTTACCTTTACCTAGCTTAGTCCTGCTCAGTCAAGTCCCTAAGAGAAGCATCTCTAACATCCCAGGCCCAGCTGATGCCCGTCTTATACGATTCCCATAATATTCGGTACACTCCCATAATAGCCCAGGAATCCTGCTATCCTGTGTCCATGTTGCATTGTAATTCTATTTACTTGATAGTTTCCCCCAAACACTGTGAACTGCTTGAGAACAAGGGCTATGTATCATTGATTTCTTCCTCTGAGCACTTAGCACACAGCCTGGCACAGAGAGAGGTCTCACTATTGAATGAATGGATAGATCAATGGATAGACTCTCATTCTAGGCCTGAAAGCAGGGAGCAGATGAAAGTTGACCACCACCCGCCCCGTCCTAGGCCCAAGTAAAATTCTAGGAAGGCGATCGAAAAAATGTTTGTATCACACAGTCACTGAAGAGAAATAAAAACAAAAATAAAGTTTGCATGTTGGCACTGGACAAAGCACATGCTGCTGGGCCCCCAGGCAGGTGCCAGGCTGCAACATGACTCTCCCTGGGGTGAGTACAGCCTCCTGGGTCCGGAGTTCTGTCTGGGGGCAGGGTTAGGTTATTGGCTCTCTTGCGTGACTTAACAGTACTATTTTTCTTTTGTGCTTCTATTTTGGGGAAGAAAAAGTACTCTGCCTGAAAGCTTGGCTTCCTGGGAGTTTCCAGAAATGGATTTTCCAGAAGTTACCCAATTCTGCGAGGATCCTTGACGTTGTTTAAAACGCACCCCTGCCAAGGGAAAGCAAGAGAATCACAGAGCATTCCTGGTCTGAAGCTGGGAGATCATCAGATCCAGCATCCCTCCCCACGTAAGGACTTCTCAAAGGTCTGGTCCCTGCTGCCTGTGCTCATGGGGAGTGATGACTGCAGGCAGATAAACTGGACAGAAGGTTTGCATCTCACATCCCAGACCTCCTTTGGGAAAGAATGAGAACAAAGACAACCTCAGCGTACCTTCCCAGCCATTTCCAGGAGAGGAGGGTGTGGGGGCTTCCCACGGTGGGAAGCTGCCGCTTCTGCTCACTGCCATGACCCCTTGCCCTTCCTCAGCCAGTGCTGGTCTTCACAGTGACCTTGTTAGGCCAACGAGGCAGGGATCATTTTTAGATGAGGCTTAAAGCCACTTAATAACTTGCCCAAGGTCACAAAATAAAGCCAAATCAGACTTTACCCTGTAGCCTCCACTGCCCGCCCACATCAGTCCCAAATATGGCTGGACTTATGCGACGGACCAGACTAATATAGCCGTTTGGTAGCAGTCTTGTCTACCTATCTATTGTCATGTTTATATAACATTTAAAAAAAAAAAATCTTAGCTGCATTAAAATCATAGCACTCACTAGCATATAAAAACTGCTAGGAATTTCAAAGTGAATCCAGTTAAGAGTTTATTCTTCAAATAGACCAAGAACGGCTCCTAGGCAGGGGTTTTGCATTATGATGTCACAAGGTGTAAAGACCCACCCACCCCGGCCTGGTATATTCACTTAACAAACATTGGTTGAATGCCCACCCATGGCCTGGCCCAACAGTGAACAACCCAGAATATATGCCTATAAGGAGGGGTCCTGGCTCAGGACTTGAGACTTCGTTGTAAGGACAGAGAGGAAGCTTTGGAGACTTAACATGGGTCAGATCGTCCCTTTAGTTATAGTGTGGAGAAAGGTTCAGAGGTGTAGGCAGGAGCTCGGGAGACCTTGCCGATCTCAGCGGCACAGATGTGAGATGGTGGTGGCTTACACCAGAGCAGCGGGCGTGGAGCTGGATTCTCTGGTCAGTTAGGCAGTGGAGTGGACGGTCCCTGGAGGCTAGCTAAGGAATTGGCAGCTCCTGTCATATGCTGCTGCTTCCAGTACTTGGGTGTATGTCTCTCATACTCACATCACTGGAAACCTGAGAATGCCTTGCAAGCAGGGCTGCCCATTCATCTCTATCACCAGAGCCCGATACCATGCTGGACATTCAAAAGATGCTCAATAAATGTTCGTTGCATGTGTGAATAAACAAATTCTATCTAAACTTCACCAAGCAGTGACTCTCAACACTCATTGAGGCTCGGGCTC